CCCCAAAACCCCAAAACCCCAAAACCCCGGGTATCATAACCAATTACGAAATCAATTATAATTATTAAAATTAAATAGGATTTATATAAAATGGTCTTTAAAAAACCTAACTTTGGTCCCCCGCCAGAAAACTATATAGCTGGACTAGGAAGAGGGTAAGCACATTAATATTGATTTGGATTCTTAAATTTTTAATAGAGCGAGTGGCTTTGTGACTAGAGCAGATTTCGGGCCTTCGAAAGTTGGAGTGGCATCTGTAGGAGGTTAAGCTGTAGAACTGTAGGTAATAATCCGCTTTTCATCTTAACTTACTTTAATTTTGCTATAGACCTGCTGGAACCCAGGGTCCCACCTAGATTAGACAAGCCCCGACTGCAGCCTTAAGAGAGCTAACAAGTTTGGGAAATAAAGCTGCTGAGAAAGAATAGGATTTTTCAGATGCAAACTTTGATGAGTGGAGTGGCTTCGGTGGTAGTTTATTTTCAGGTGGAGGGGGCGGAGACGATGTTGAAGACAAGGAAGCTGACAATATCTTCTCCAAGGTTGACGAGTATATGGACAATCGCCGCAAGAGGAAAAGAGAGGAGAAGTTCAAAGAGTAGGAAGAGAAACTAGAGAAAGATAAGAAGGACATTCAGAGCTAGTTCGCTGATTTGAAGAGATCTTTGGTTAATATAAGCAGATCCGAGTGGGAGGCTCTGCCTGATGCTCCAGATCTAGTCAAGAGAACAAAGAGGCAAAAGGTCGATAATTTTCAGAGATATACTCCAGTTCCAGACACAGTTATTAACAGTGCAAGAATCGACGGTCAATCAAATACATTCATTGATCCAAATCAAATACAAGGCATGCAATCTTCACTCATTCAGCAAAGTAATGGCTTCCAGAGTGTGGCAAACGGAGGTATGACTAGTAGTATTGGAGATATCGGTCTGGCTAGAGGTCAACTATTGCAGATTAAGCTTGCATCTGCGGAGTCAGTGATATCTAATGTTTAAAAGTCTACAACAACTTTTGATAAGGAAGGCTACATGACTTAGCTTAATAGTCAGCAGTTCAATAATCTTCACGATATCAAGTAAGCTAAATAGAAATATTAATTGATATATAGCGACTTTAAAAAGGCAAGAAAGATGTTTAAATCAGTTATCTAGCAAAATCCTTAGAATTCCATGGGTTGGATTGCAGCAGCCAGAATTGAGCATTTAGATGGGAAGATCTAAGAAGCCAGAAACATAATAAACTAGGCTTGTCATGAACTCCCTAATGATGAGGATATTTGGCTTGAAGCAGCAAAACTATGTCCACCAGAAAAGGTTTAGCCATTGCTTGCGAAGGCAATTAGTAGTATCCCAAAGTCTAAAAAGTTATGGCAGATGGCAGCAATAAAGGAATAAGATATAGACATCAAGAAGCAAATTTATCAAAGAGCTCTCGAATAACTACCTCATGATCTAGACTTATGGAAAGACACTATCTAGCTTGCCAATCCTGAGGAAGCTATCGCTCTGCTTTACAGAGCTGTGAAGTGTGTACCTGACTCTACTGACTTATGGCTTGCTCTTGCAAAGCTGGAAACATATGAGAATGCTAGAACTGTACTTAATGAAGCCAGAGAAGCAGTTCCAACAGATCACACTATATGGGTTAATGCTGCTAAACTTGAAGAAGCTTAAGGAAATAATTAATTAGTCGATAAGATCATCAACAGAGCTATTAAAAAATTGTCTAAAAATGGAGTCTCGATTAAAAGAGAATAATGGCTAAGAGAAGCAGTAATGGCAGAAGAGAGTGGAAGCATGATAACTTGCAGAGCTATTATAAAGGAAACTATGCACTACGGAATGGAGGACATCCTCAGTACGTACTAGGACGAAGCTGAGCAGAAACGCCAAATCAGATCCATTTGGAAGGAAAATGCTGAGGACTGTCTGAAGCAATCAGCTATCGAGACAGCAAGAGCAATCTTCTTTAATGCTATCAAAGAATTCCCTAGCAAAAAGAGTCTTTGGTTTGATGCCATTCAACTTGAAGAAGAGTATGGGACCAAGGAAAATCAGTAGGACTTGCTCAAAAGAGCCAAGGAACACACTGGCAGTGTTTTCTTCTATCTCAAATTGGCTAAGTTCACCTGGAAAAATCATCATGACTAAGATTAGACTAGAAATATACTGATGGAGGGATACTCAAAGCATTCAGACTCGGAAGATATAGTACTAGCGATTTAGAAGTTTGAAAGAGATAATAAAAATTATCAGTAAGCTGAAAAGTTATTAAGTGAAGCCATATCCCAAATAGAAAGTGAAAGAATTGCTTTATAAGCAGTTTAGCTTCAAAGAGAGCTAAATAGCCTTGACAATGCATTAAAAACTGTGGATGAGCAGCTGATTAAATACAGAAATTTCTTCAAACTTTGGCTTGTTAAAGCCCATATACTGCAAGCATTAGGAACTTAGAGTGCATAAAATGAAATAAAAGCCATTGAGTATTATAACTAATCGAGATCAGTGTATGATGAGGCTTTAACTCTAGATGAGATCAAGACAAAAAGAGTAGTGTGGCTAGACTATGCCAGATTTGAAACTGATCAAGGAGCTTTTACAAGAGCAAGAACTATACTATAAAAGGCAAGAATAAGGATACCAACAGATGATGAAATCTGGCTAGCCTCTGTTAGATTAGAGATCAAAAGTGATAATCTGAAGATAGCCTAGAATTTGCTCTCCCAAGCTTTGCAAAAATGTCCCTTGTCAGGTAGACTATGGGCATAGCTTATTGAGATGGAACCAATGGCCACTAGAAAGACCTAGTCACTGAACGCAGCTACTAAAGTTGGCAATGACTCTGATTTGTTTTTGGCTGTAGCAAAGGTATTGTGGACAGAGATGAAGACTGAGAAAATGAAGAAGTGGATCTAAAATGCGATCGCTATCAATAAGGACAATGGAGATGCTTGGGCACTATCTCTTAGATTTGAAATGGAATTTGGAACAAAGGAGACATAATAGGAGATAATAGATAAGTTCCTTGAAGCTGAGCCCAGACACGGAGAGATGTGGACAAAAGAGATAAAGTAAGTTGAAAACTGGAGAAAAAATAAAGTAGACATCCTTAAAAAAGTAGCCAAAGAGATCAAGATGTATGATGAGATGTGAATGCTTTCAAATTAAGAATAAAAGAAAATGAACACTAATTAGATTTTAAAACTTTCTTAGCTTTAACCTTAATTTCATAACTCATTTATAAAATATGTTGCGATTAAAACTTACTTATAATTATCTATCATAATAGCTAAAAAACATAATATAATCAATGATGATGATGGCCATGCCCGTGACTATGACCGTGACTGTGACTATGATCTTAAGTGAGATCATTAGTATGGTCATGATCGTGATGTTCATGTCCTCCATTCTTCTCTTCATCTTCAGCTTAGTCATTATCACAGCATCCAATCTCTAAAAGGCCATTGCTTTGCTCGATTTGGATAGTGGTATGATAAATCTCATACTTCTCTCTCAAAATTTGTGTCATCTTCTTAAGGGCTGTGTGAGGTAGGTTTGATCTAACATGTCCACTCATTGAGAGTTTACCTGCTGATAGTGTCCAGACATGGAAATCATGAATTTCTTCAACTTCATCAAGACTCAATACATCTTAGAAGCATTGAACAACATCAACATCTCTTGGAGTGGCCTCCATAAGAATTGAAAGGCATTCTCTAAAGATGGGAATAGTTGTGAAAATGCAAAGGAATGTGAAGAGGAATGTACAGATTGGATCTACAATGTGCCAATCTGGTTTGAAATATATAATGATTGCTGCAATAACTACTCCAATACTTTGGATGATATCTCCAATGATATGTATAATAGCTGCTCGGATATTCATATTTTCATGACTATGGCCATGGCCTCCATGACCGTGACCATGATGGTGATGTCCATGACTGTGTCCGCCCTATTTCTTTTCCTTGTGATCATGCTCGTGTTTATGATCATGTCCTTGTTCATGCTTGTGATCATGACTATGCTCATGCTTGTGATCATGACTATGCTTTTGCTTATGTTCATGACCGTGTTCATGTTTGTGGTCATGACCGTGTTCATGCTTATGATCGTGTCCATGTTCATGCTTATGATCGTGGCTATGTTCATGCTTATTTTCGTTGCCATGTTTATGAGTATGCCCGTGTCCATGTTCGTGTTTGTGGTCATGTCCATGCTTATGTCCGTGATCATGATGTTCATGCTTGTGTTCATGTTTATGCTCGTGCTTGTGTTCATGTTTATGGTCATGACTATGCTCTTCAATATGAATATGATCGTGGTCATGGTCATGCTTTTACTTACAATCTCCATCACTCAAGCAATGGTCATGCTCATTTTTATGCTCATTAAGATGGTCGTGGTCATGGTTATCTTGACTATGGCATTTTTCCTTCTTGTGATCATGATTATGATTATGCTCATGTTTGTGATCATGAGATTTTTTATGGCCTAAAGGAGATGAAATCTTACTTAATTCTGTTTTCTTATATTCTGATTAATCATGGCTTATCATTGACATAGTATTATTTATCTTTAAATTTTTGGGCTCGTCATCATAATGTAAGACAACCTAATTCTCTTCAATGATATCAGTATTTTCATCCAAGTTATTTTTATTTGCAAACACTTTGGATTTTCTTCCACTTAAACGAGCTTCCTTGTTAAGTTGCTCTAATACAGGCTGGTGGCAGTGGCTTAATCTGTTGTCACCTTCATTGTGAGAATGTTTATGTCCATGGTCATGGTGATGATGGTGGTGATGGCCATGCTCGCCTCCGCAGGAGTGAAGAGTAAAGATTGAAATAAGATTGAAAATTAAGCCTACACCTGCAGTAATTAACATTATTTCCCCATCAATTTCTTCTGGTGATACAACTCTATGAATAGCTTCAATGAACAGCCAAATGATCAGACCCCAAATAAGTAGTACACTGGCCAATGCTCCTAAAATTTCTGCTCTATGGTATCCGAATGACATTTAATGATTGGCCGGTCTTGCTCCCATATAGATAGCGAAGTAACTAATCAAGAATCCAGCAACATCTGATAGCATATGAGCTGCATCAGTGATAATAGCTATAGAACCTGAGAGGTATCCACCTGCTACTTCTCCTCCCATAAATATGAAGCACAGTATAGTGACTGTAAGTAACTTGCACATAGCTCTTTTGCCCTCTTCCTTTTGTTTCTACAAGAGCTCAGTCTGCTCAAGAGCACAGTTACCTCTATTGTCTTTAGTGTTTGAAAAGCTCTTCATTAGCATTGACTTCTTCAACTAACGTGACATCACATCTTCGTCAGACTGATTTTTTAACTTCTAATAGAGTGTGCTATTACTACTCTTTGCTGCCATCAATTAATAATAATGTTTATTATTAAGTATTTAAAAATGTCATGATCTATACATTAACTTAAATATATAAATTAAAAATATCCAAATAATTAATACTTAAAAGTTATTGTTTATGGCTTTAGGGGTTTTGGGGTTTTGGGGTTTTGGGG